TCGGGTAATGAACGCTGAAGGGGTGTTCGGGGGATGAAGGATAAATTAATTCTTACGGTAAAGGGTGGGGGATCCATATTCTCCAGATGTATTGGAAAAAAAATCAAGTGACTCTGATTTTCATTTTTATTCATGTCAGCCAAAACTAATGTGCCCCCAGATAGCATTCTCGAGGTATTTAATCTTAAAGTTTTAAGACAAGACCTGTGATCACCCGACAGCTGTAGCTTATTGATAAAGAAGCACCCGCGAGGTCTTATACCCAAGCTAAGTTGGCAAATGTTCATGTCAGACACAAATGTGATGAGAAACATTTAAGGAAAATTCCAACAATTTTTAAGAAATTTAATTCGTCTCGGTCAGTGTTTTTATTCCTATTTTTTCAATTTATAGGACATTTCGGAAGCCATCTTGGGTGGCTTACACTGACGTCGGGAACAGTCAAGAAGAGAACCATTTAAGGAATGTTTCTGGAATTGTTCGGTTAAACAGAATCAACAAATCGTGCGAAAAGCTTAAGGACGGACGAAGGAACAGACGATCAACCATAGAAATTGTCCATTCAGACGAACTAAACCAATAAAAATTCATAATCAAAGGATCGAACTACTTGACATACAGTACATCGCTGACAAGTGGTAGCTGACAAATTTTCCCCTTCAGGTATAAAATAAAATCCCGAAACTTACACAAAAATACAGCTTTATGCTCTTAAAACTATATTCTTGATAATGTTATTTAAGAAAGAGAGGTGAGGTGGTGAGCGCCAAGTGTCTGTGAACCACGAGATGCACACCTGCACCGCCACCTGTATGAACACATATATTGCAATTGCCTCAGGTAGTTCATATATGCACATCGTCACTAGTAACAGCTGATAGTCCGTGACACGTGCACAGCTGTTTAACAAATGTCTATATAATTTATGTCCTTACGCAGTTACCTACTCAGGGTCTCACCCGTCATCTGTTGAACAGTGGGACCACAGAAGGAAAAAACTTGGATGTTCTACAATTCTACATGATTTAAATGACATAACCTTCACTCGACCTCCACACAGTTCTCCCAGTAACCATAACCTTCACTCGACCTCTACACAGTTCTCCCAGTAACCATAACCTTCACTCGACCTCTACACAGTTCTCCCAGTAACCATAACCTTCACTCGACCTCCACACAGTTCTCCCAGTAACCATAACCTTCACTCGACCTCCACACAGTTCTCCCAGTAACCATAACCTTCACTCGACCTCCACACAGTTCTCCCAGTAACCATAACCTTCACTCGACCTCTACACAGTTCTCCCAGTAACCATAACCTTCACTCGACCTCTACACAGTTCTCCCAGTAACCATAACCTTCACTCGACCTCCACACAGTTCTCCCAGTAACCATAACCTTCACTCGACCTCCACACAGTTCTCCCAGTAACCATAACCTTCACTCGACCTCCACACAGTTCTCCCAGTAACCATAACCTTCACTCGACCTCCACACAGTTCTCCCAGTAACTTGGCTCTTCACAGCTACCCATTCCCCCCTGTCTATGTCTTCAACATTTAGTTCATCATCTCCGCTTTAAATATGCGTAAAACAAAATTATAAAGCAAATATTTTAACAAAATCTTAACAATATTATAAAAAAGATAAAACACATTTAAACTTGAGGTCTTTCGCCATTAGAATATGCTCTGTCATCTAATTTTTCTTAATACTCTCGCCTAGAAACCAAGTATCCATGCCAGAAAAATACATATAAACATTACTGCACAATAATACACAAATATCGGGTACAAACAAAGACAGGGTCAAGAATGTCTATCGGCAACACAACTTTAAATCAATTTCCTTAGCAAAGTTTAGAATTTCTCCTCTGACAGTAAGAAATACCGAAAGCAGCGATGCCGTCCCCCGAGGCAGAGGTGTGTGACTATTGGCAACTCTTTGGGATTTTGTACTGCTTACACACACGAGCAAGACAGACGACCCAGCTCACTCCCGTCTGTACCCTGACTGACTCAAGGAACGGGTAGTGGTGATAAGAGTGAAGGGAAGGAACAGGAGAGCGTGGAATTTTAAAAAGACGAGTAGGAAACAAACCAAAATATATTTAAAGTACCAAAACACTGACAGACAAGCAAACTAATATATTCAGACGTGCATATACACACAAATAAGTAAATACAAACAACAAATAAACAAGCACACACACACACACACACACACACACACACACACACACACACACACACACACACACACACACACACACACTCTACCCTGTTTCATTTTTTACTTCACCATCCCTGAATTCCCTTCCCCACACACATCCTATACCACACCACATCACAAGGCAACACTCCGCTGAACACCCGCCTCAACTTCATCACTTCCCCAACATTTCTGGAGCCTTGTACAGTATTCCACCTTCCCCTACACCATATCACACAGTACCACTCCACACAATGCACCAAACCATTTACGTCAGCCTCCCCTACAACGTCCCTGAATCTCCCCGAGTCGACACGCACAAGCAGTAAAGCAAAGTTTCCTTCCATTCACGCTCCTAAAATTGTTGAGTTTGTCCTATAAATATCGCCTGGCTCATCACTGTGGTTTCAAATATCTTATGCCTCCTAAAAATTAAAATATCACATAAAATTTATATAATAGATCATCCTTCTCTTCATACGCTAAATAGTTAGTAATCATAGGCCGGACATAACACCTCAGCAGAAGCCAAGTCATCAGAAGTTTCAGGAAGCTACTAAGCTACTCGTTAATTACATTGCAAACTTGAATCAGTTCATGAGGTTTGACTGAAAAATTTCCTTTAAACCATGACCTCGTTAAATATACTCAAGGTTATGTCAGTATTTCCTTGCTTCGTAAGTTAAAATCTAACCTTACATAAGTTCAGTCTTGACTACACCCGTATTTAATTAAAAATAAAACCTGACCTAACTTACAGTATTAACTCAATAAGTGTCTGGCTAAATATGAAACTGTTTAATTAAGCAGAAAAGTTATAGGTATGATAAGTACACTAAAAGAAGAGTCATATCACAGCTTAGACTTTTGAGAGAGAGCTTAGGAAACAAACCTAAACAATATTAATGGACTTTTCTCATAAGAAATTCCCACCAGAATATATATGTTACCCTAAAATACATCTTTACTTTATGACAATAGTAATATTCTGACTCTCTCAGTTTTATTTACAGTTAGTTACTTTTAAGTTTCGGAGTCGTTTGAACCAAGATATCCCATACCCACACACAGTATAAGGCAGACACGTGCACAGGTAGGGCTCAGGGGGAAGCTCGAGCCCCTGCCCCTTTGCCCTGCCAGTTACGAAGTGACCCCCTCTATGCTTTTTTTGTTTTTGTTTTTTCAATCCTCAGTAACAAGAGGGTAGGGTATCCACCAGCCATGAAAAAAAGAGGCAGATTAGCCCATTTAGGATGCAAAGAACTTAGGGAGGAAAAAATCCTCTTATATTATTCTAAAGCCAAGAATGTACACCATGCTATAATATTATATGTGGCGCGATTTCGCGGCAGTGCTTGGATTTTAGTAGAGACGTGATCGGTTCAGTCCTAACTCTTTCCCGTTCATGGGGAACGGAGCCCTGGGACGGACTGTAAAGTAGCATTAAAAGACTGTTTCTTTAGTTTATGTTGTAAATAAAATGTCTAATAATGTTATTGTATGGCGTATGATTTATCTATACACAAACTTGAAGTACATATTGACAACCAGTAATTCGTAAGGCAGTAGTTTGCATGTTGATTTTATTTTATTAGCTATATTTTCATTAGAAAATAAAATAAGAGTATACCCAAATTCAGGGGACATTCGTAGCAACTGCATATGGCCTCAAAATGGCCCTCAAATCGATCACACCCCCAGCTGTAAGGGCTCGCTTCGCTCGCCTCCTCCCTCGGGGGATGGTGCTCTTTTTTGCCAATTCTAACTACTCCATCTGACATATCCTGTCCACGGCCCTGGTATAAGTCACAGAGATTATAACAGCATTAAATTTATAAAAAAAAATATTATAGTGGACTGTGCCTCCCTAGTGTACGAACGCTATAGAGGATCCCATCTAGCACCCCTCCCAGAGCGGTAACCAAGAATCCCAAGTCATCTAAACTCTAAAGTTACTAAAACTTAGGCCACATAAGCAAATTTTCCGTAAACTTTGAACTCGCTGTAGCAGTCACTCCTAATACTACTGTCGTTTTCTATAGTGCCAAGGCAAGTCCAAAAGCAGCTAGAGGGGGACCTCTACCGTTCGTACACTACCTCGGCACATCCACCAAAAATAAGCTTTTCAATCCTTCAAAGACTTTCTAATAGTACAGTAATATTATTTTAATCGTAATATTTACTAATTATCGGCGTCTTCATAATTATTATCGTGTTATTCCTTTTACTCCTTGCTACTTTATTAAAGCTTTACAAAACACGCCATCATTAATATTACAAATTAGACAAGGGAAACTACATCTGTCCTTACAGTTTATACAATTTATGGAGTGGCCATGCATTTTCTGTACTAAATTACAGCTATGTAGAGTTTTCCGAGATGATGTAAAGAAATACAATCAGCATATACGTTTTAGATATTATTAGAATAACTTTCTTTTGTACTTTGCTGAACTCTAATTAAAAGTTTAACTACAGTATAGCTAAGATAATCTTCATTTGATGTTTAAGACAACTTAACTATATATTCTAAATGTTGAATTATTATTTTTCTTATTAAAACAAATTTGCTTAAGTTAGCAAATAAATTTATATGTTTATTTAATCTTATTTTACATGGCTTATTTTTTAATAAATTTTGAAAGTTATCAGCTTATTATCTGTATGTATGTATGTATGTATACAAAAAGGAATATATTCATTAAATATTTACCCGAGCGGTTTGTATTGAAAAATAGCGAATTTTGCTACAACTTTGAGGTTTTTCGATAGGTTGAGTTGGCAACACTGTCACTGCCTCTTCACAACAACTGGGGCAGAGAGAGACGACTACCAGAGTGCCCTAACATGTCTTTGTATGAATTGTCCCTCATTGTGAGAAATATGCCCAAAGTACGTCATAATATAATTTCAACTAGAAAAATAGGTAGTTATTAAGACAATTATCGTAATGATAACCATTGTAATTACGACACCCAGGTCAATTTAAACAGGCAAACATACCAACTTTGAGGAAATTGTGAGCTAAACACGATGAAAATTTGATCTAATGACACTAAAATGATGGTTCTGTGTGCTTTGTACGGGAAGATAATAACTATTTAGTGGTGTTGTCTGCACACTTTGTTTTCAACCTACTCGTCCACAAGAAAACGTAAAATTACACTCTTATAAAGACAGTTAGTTAGTTATTTATTGAGTAATTTGTTACCTCGTTCACATTGATTCAACTATACAAAAGGATTACCCTTAAACTAGTCATTTTAGAAATTTAAATTTTTTTATAGAGAAAATGTGGTCCTACTCTAATGTGTTGGAGTGGCACTTAAGAGAACGTTTAGGTGGAGCTATGGTGACGAAAGAAAGCGAAGAAACAAATTAATTCAAGCCAAGTTTTGTTTGTGGCCCACACGTCATTGGGATGGTACCCGTGGACTCGATCGCTGGTCTGTGCAAAACATTTCTACCTGACCATGGTCGTCTGAATTTTTCCGTGTTAGCCAGACTCAACCCAGGTTAAAGCAATTCTCAGCCGTGTGTTACGCAATAGCGAGCAGTAAAATGTGTTCGGGTTAATCCGCTTTGAACAAACCCGTTAAGATTCCATCGTGTTACCTTTTGACTGTTAATACTCTTTCCTCATGATTTTTCTTTTTACCATTGCTCAAATTTTTTTCCTTTTTTACCATTGCTTCTATTTTTTCTTCCCTTATTTCACCCCTACTTTATTATAGTTTTCTGTTACCTGTAAAATTGCTTCTCGTCATTCTTACAAATTTCTCAGCCATTCTTCTGCCCTCATTTAGTTTCTCTCTCCTTTGTTTTAAATAAAATAATTTCCTTCCGCATATTATACGAACTCTACTTATGTAGCTCATTTCCACCTTCAGTTAATATGAATTATATGTTTACAGCATGCTTAAATAATTATTTCCATAGTAGGCCTCAAACTAAAACTTCAAGTCTTCAAGTTTACTTCCACTGATCAGTACCTTATTACTTTTCATATTTTTCAGGCTGGCTTAGTGACAGCTGTAAAGAGAGTATCAGAGTCAATCCTTGATGAAGGTGGTTATGTAAGCAAGATTGAAAGTTTAGGTGCGAGAGAACTACCCTACAAGATGACAGCACATGGACAAGTCCACACAAAAGGAAAGTAAGTTACTCTTTCACTTTGCATATCATTTTGAAGTTATCAGCAGTATCCTCCTTTATGAAGACTATAAATTTCAATCAAATCCACTTGGTGGCCATTCTTCATGTGATAGAATGATACAGTACTATTTTATACTTCTTATATGAATTTATGACATATGGACTGGGAATGAGACAGAAAACTTTACAATTCAAGCTACAAACATATATGGGTTACCTATGTGGTTACCAGAACCCAGGGGGTAAGAAATAGTGAAGTGTATATACAGTATACTGTATACATTGTTTAGAATGGCAGTGAAGGCAAAGGGTGTAAATTGTGGAATGGTAGACTGGGTGATCACCGAGATGGTATTTTTTATTTATTTTATTTTCAAGGAAGATTTCTTCGTTGTGTTATTCACTTCTTTCTTATGGTTGTTTCATTTTAAAATTTTTAATATCCTTGAAAGTTTTGAACGATGTTATCTCACGGGGCAAAGGTCATACAGACACTCCCCGGGTTACGGATTTCTGACTTCATGGTTACTCTCCCATAAAACTTATTCAAAATGAGCGCCAAGTAATTCCTGGGTCCAACCATACCCCACCTGTGAGCTTGATGTTATGTTATGTTATGGTTATTTTTAACTTGTAATTGTCTTAATTTTTTATTTAGTTACTGAACATAGACATTCAATCTTACGTAAAGAAAGTGAAGAAAAAAATTAAATACATACTGCCAATTATCATGAGGCATGTAATATTTTTAGCTTGTAATTGTGGGTAGTTATCCATAATTTTCTTCATTTCGTTTTACTCCGTTACATACACACATCATCCTACATACAAAACGTGGAAAAATTAATCAAATAAATAATTATTATAAGGTATAAAGTATCTAAGGGTTTCCACTGTGAAAATATATGGCAAGTGTGTGGGGGTCGGAGCAGCTGTGCTAGGGACATTTATGTGTTGCTAAGTTCTTTTTATAGTTTCATTAATGCTATTTATATGCTTTTCTTGCTGATGTTTATAGGCCTTCAATTTAAAGTTTTATAAGTTTTTACGTTACAGTACACAGTTAAGCTACTTTTAGGGATGAATCTAGTGATCTGAACAAACTTTTCACCGCCAGTTAAAGAGGATTTATATATCCAGTACTGTACATTTTTGACCTGGCACTCAAAATTCCAGAAAAAACCTTTATGGCAACCCCAGGTCCCAAACATGCTTGATAAATGGTCCCATACCTGTATAGTAATTGTATATGCATACATTTGTATATGTATACATGATGTATATTATGTGTGTTCAATTATTACCAATGTAAGGGTCACTTCCAGGTTATGGCTAATTTGGCTCATGGACAGCCTCCAGGAACAGAACCCAACCATTACCTAGGGAGTGTCTATTGAAGTTGTAAGAATACATGGTAATAATATAATTTATTCTTTAATTTCAGCTATTTTCTGATTCACTTTGCTGCACCTCCCACGTCTCTAAGTGATATAACTGATAACTGCAGACGAGATATTGACTTGGTGCGACCTCTTGTGTCTAGAATTGAGTCAAAGGCTCGTTTTGAATGCACCCTGCATGAAGAGGTTCAGCCACCATCATCCAGGTATGATTCCTTGGAGTTTAATTTTTGTCCTCTTTTCATCAACATATTTTAGTGTATAAATACTGTACTCTATCTTAATGTCTGTTAGTTTGTATTGAAAATGATAAATTATGAAATGCCCTGTACTATATACCGGTACCAAATTTTAATAAAATCTGCTTAGAGGGAATATTTGTATGTATCTTACATAACCTCAGTGTGGCTTACATAGCATTGCCATCTCTTCTACTCTTGCTGGTCTCTTTCAAGCCATATCAAAGGGTAAATTAGAGGTAATAAAAAGTTCAGAACATAGAACAGAAATTGAGAGCATGGACTGGCAGATGTAAAACTTCAGAAGAGTGCAGGGAAGAGTAATGTCACCCTGCCAAGCTATGTTGCAAATTAATGGTAAGACGGCCAATTAATCAAGCCAGACCACAGAGTAGTAATAAAGTAAAATATTCTAATTTATGTTCAGAGTTTCAGTACCAGGTTTGAGGAATGGTATATTTAAGTGAATTTGGTTTGGACAGGCAAATCAGAATTGATATTAGATATAAGTAACATCTTAAGTGACTTTCTAACCTAATCTAATATAGCTGGTTTTATTTTATGACAGTAAATGATGTCTTAAATGAAACAACAAATTGTGCCCTATACAGTACTGTACTATACTGTATTATATCTACAGTATCTCAATTCCTTTTCTAGTATGTATGATATATATATATATATTGTATGCAAAATATACAATACTGTACTGCTTATTTTTAATCTGGCACCCAGAGGTGAAAATTGTTTACATACACATGCTGTACTTCCTACATTTCTCTTTTCTTAATTTCAGGCCGGAAGTTCATAAAATGATTCGAGAAGCTGAGAAAAGACTTCCTCCACACATCAAGAAGAAATTCCGTCTGAATACTGATCTTGGATATAACCCATTTTAAAACATTAGATTACATAATCCATTGCAGGTTTAACACTGATATGAATAACTAAAGGGTATGTAAATTCTGGTGTAAATATATTGTATATAAATTATACTCCAACTTCCCTTGAAATTCTCTAATTCTGACCTTTTAATAATGAAAGTTACTGTAATTTTATATTACTGTAGTTGGAATACATGTCATAATTTTCAGTTTGTGCCCCTTATTCAATATTTGTATACCTTTTCATGGACCCTATAATAAGTGGTAAATGAATAAACATACTGTACTGAATTCAGGAATTTTCCAATTTTTTCAAAAGTGTGCATAGAATACTGTATACATAAAATAGTAAATAAAGTAAAGTACAGTACCGTATTGTATGTGAATAATAATATGCAGAAGGTTAGAGGATGCAGTCCCCAGAATGAAATACTGTATACAAGTGTTTGGTTACTAAATTATTAAACAAATTTATTCAAGAAAACAAGTGACAATTGTTAAAATAACTACTGTACTTGTAATGTATTTATAAAAAACTTGCAGTAATTACCCGAACCCATAGCCATCAACCGTTTCCAACATGTACAATAACTACTGTCTTCTACTGTGCCACTTACCATATGTGTAATCATTTTTTTACTCTATTCTTTTATCATTTTATTAAGAAACAATCAATAGCTAATTACACTGGCTGGTGCACACTAGAATATTTAGTAAGATTGGAAAATTGTATTGAACAGGAGTATTTCTAGATATAGAAAAAGACCATGACGTGGTGAGCTCGAGTTGGGTGCTCATGAACCTCCACACCTTAGGTTTAAGAGGGCATTTACCCTACTTTTTAAAATCATTTCTCACAGACAGAAAATTAACTCAAGATATAAGACTGGCCACATTTGTCCAAAACAATGAGGCACCTTAGGACAGCATTCATGGTGCCATTTTAGTTTGATCATAGTTAATGATTGTCTATCACCAGCCCGTTATAATCTCTCTAATCACTTACGACTGTGCATTCATCAGAAGAGCAGATTTAAGAAGCTCTTGACGCTGCTCAACAGCAGGCTGAGGTTGGGTTTTAAGTTCTCTGCAGCAAAGACAATAGGAGTAACGTGTAACAGAAAAAGGTCCTTTGTACGACAGATAATTCTTTTGATGATACTATACTCCTACTGTACAGTATTTCAAAATTCAGTTAAATTTGTTGACCTATCTTTGGATAAATAGCTCTCAGGGAGAATCTAGGGAGCTAATAGCAAGTCTTTATTGTTGATGTACAACTTCCGAGTCAAATCTAAAAAGTAGTACTGTATGCATCTTCAAGCACTGGTGTCCTGCAGAAACTGATAGCGATTCAGAACAAATGCCAACACATCAGTGTTGGAGCATACAGGTGTACAAGAATCTCAAAACTAGAAGTGGAGGTGAATATTCCCCCCCCCCTACTATAGCCTAGTGGCTTCCGAGAAAAAATACGACTCATCCAGAAGAAATCTGCATCTGCTTCTTGGAACTCCTCCTAGTCTTTTCAAGATCATACTTATAATGATGGATCCAAGACATTCTTGTGCAGGCATCTGGCCAGAAAGTTTTCAGTCAAAATATCACTTGCCAGACCATAAATCAGTGTTCACAGAGGTTGTGGGTGTGACTGACAAGGCCATCAACTATGCAAACATTTCTAACAGTGAAAACTGTCATATACTGTACTGTATCTAGATTCTGTGTCAGGTCTTTATGCAATTTTGAATTGTCAACCATAAATTTGGAATTGGCATGTTCACTAGTACCTAGACAGTACTGTACTCAGATTCTGAACAAAATCCAATGTTGGCCAGTACAGCTGAAACTGTAAGCTTAATGGCCTTAATAACATCTGGACGTAATATATACTTTTCTCTCGGAATTGGAATTTAAGGGGTTTAACTAATTAAGTCCATCCAGACTCCAGAATAATACAAAAACACCAAAAAAGTCACTTCGGAAACCCACTGTTGGCGAGTAATTAGCATTGAAAAAATATAATTAAAAAAATATTTGTTTGCACAGCAATTAAAAATATAAAATTTTATATGGCAACCAGGGCTTGGTAACTGAGTATGTTGTTGGTTGGAATAAAGAGAAACAAATTGAAGAGAAATGTATAAATAATAAAAAAGAATCTGAAATTGTAGATATAGAATACTGTACATACTGTCAAATTATTCTAAACTTATTTAATTCGGATTTTTTCACTAATTCAAGAGACCCAGAGCCCTCTTTTTTTTCTTCATATTAACGAGGGTACAGCATTAGCATTTTGTATTGTACAGTGTATACCTACTATAACAGCATGTATGTATGTATGAAACAAAGTTGTAGTCATTTACGTAAACACTTGTCCCCCATTATTAAAGAAAACAAAATAGTAAATGTTGAGGACATTGAGGAGATAATGAAATCCTTGATGTCTGATATTAAGATTTGGATTGCTAGGAAAAAACTTAAGGTGAACGACGGTAAAACCAAGATTATCGTTATCCAAGGAAATAGATGTGGAGACGGCACAGATGATTTTGGCTCTTAAACTTTGGGGAAGCGCAACTCAGTCCTGTCGATTCTATTCTTAAACTTGGGGTGTACTTTGACTCTAAACTGAATTCTAAAGAGCATATAAATTCAGTAATTAAGGAGTTGCAACTTCATATTTGAGATCTAAATGCTGTTAAACCGTTTTTAGATACACATTGTAGTGGTGGTGGTGGTGGTTGTTGTTAGGTTGTGGTAGTTATAAGCTTGTGATGGTTGTAAGGTTGTTGTGGTAGCATGGTTGTGGTTGTAAGGTTGTTGTGGTGGTTGTAAGGTTGTGATGGTTGTAAGGTTGTGGTGGTTGTAAGGTTGTGGTGGTTGTAAGGTTGTTGTGGTAGCAAGGTTGTGGTTGTTGTGGTATCAAGGTTGTGGTGGTTGTAAGGTTGTGGTGGTAGCAAGGTTGTGGTGGTTGTAAGGTTGTGGTGGTTGTAAGGCTGTGGTGGTTGTAAGGTTGTGGTGGCAAGGGTTGTGGTGGTGGCTTAAGGTTGTGGTGGCTGTAAGTTGTTGTGGCTGTAAGGTTGTGGTTGTTGTAGGTTGTGGTGGTTTATGGTTGTGGTGGCTGTAGGTTGTGTGGTTGTAGTTATGTGGTGGTGTAAGGTTGTGGTGGCTGTAAGGTTATGGTGGGCAAGGTTGTGGTGGTAATGGTGGTTGTGTTAAGGTTGTGGTGGTTTGGGTTATGGTGGTTGTAAGGTGGTTGTAAGGTTTAAGGTGGTTGGTAAGGTTGTGGTGGTGGATTTAAGGTATGGTGGTTGTGGTTATGGTGGTTGCCAGGTTGTTGGTAAGGGTGTGGTTGGTGGTGCAAGGTAAGGTTATGGTGGCAAGGGTTGGTGGTTGTTAGGTTTGGTGCAAGGTTATGGTGGTCATGTGTCAGGTGTTATAAGCACAGTGGTGGTTGTAAGGTTGTGGTGGTTGTAAGGTCAGTGGTGGTTGTTATGGTGGTTTGCTGTGGTGGCTACAGGTTGTGGTGGTTGTAAGGTTGTGGTGGTTGTTGGTGGTTGTAAGGTTAAGGTATGGTGGTGTTGTGGTGTAGCAAGGTTATGATGGTTTATGTGGGTTTATGGTGGTTGTAAGGTGTAAGGTTGTGGTGGTGTTGTGGTGGTAGCAAGGTTGTGGTGGTTGTAAGGTTATGGTGGTTGTAAGGTTATGGTGGTTGTAAGGTTGTGGTGGTAGCAAGGTTGTTGTGGTTGTAAGGTTGTTGTGGTTGTAAGGTTGTGGTGGTTGTAAGGTTGTGGTGGTTGTAAGGTTGTGGTGGTTGTAAGGTTGTGATGGTAGCAAGGTTGTGGTAGTTGTAAGGTTGTGGTGGTTGTAAGGTTGTGGTGGTTGTAAGGTTGTGGTAGTTGTAAGGGTGTGGTGATGGAGAGGCATCACCAGCGTGAAGCACCATACTTGACGCTGACCTACAAACTGCCAGAAAATCATCAGGTGAGATCTTCCAGCAGAGTCCCGAGGCTACAACACACCGCCACTTTGCCTGTCACTCTGTGCTTATACAGTATTTTCCATTGTGGTTATCCAACACCTTCAGCAATCACTCATTTTTATCGGCCCGTCAACACCAAGGACGAAGCAGGACCGACAGAAATCTTTCGTCAGAGAGAGTTACCTGTAGGTGTTCTGACTTGAGATTTACACCCATGTTGTACCGTGAGAAAGTATTGTAATGCCTCCAGAGATGGTTGTTATGTGTTGTTGTGGTGGACCTTGAACGACAACTAGTGTGTTTAGTAATGGTTCTGTCTTTTGTGTCTTGTTTTGTTTTTTGTTTTGTTTTTCGCTTGAAGCAGAATTATTGGAGACGATGGTCCCAAGGCTCTAGAGAGGGGAGAGAGATCACGTCCCTCCCCACCACAGTATTCTCGGCCTGGTGGACATGGTAAAACAATTGATTTTTCCTGACACATTTATGTGTTATTCAATTCAAATATATATTTTTTTCATAATTTGGGTGTGGGTTTTGTGTGTGTGTAATTTTCGTGTGCGTATGCGTCCGTTTGACCGCGCACGTACAGTAGCCAACATACTAACGTGAAATTGGACTTACGTTTCCTTGAGGCGTGTTTTTACTTGTAAGCACACCACAATAAATGTACTAAGTCATTGTTATATAAGTATATATCAACTTAACAAAGAGATTTAAGACTCATCCATACCAAGATATAACAAACTTCAGGGGGCTTTACAAGACCCTACTTCACCCACATTTAGTGTGAACCAACCACGCAATCGTAAGAATTTACAGACGGGAAACGAAATTTGCCCCTTAGTTGGAGAAAATGAGTTCCAAAGACCGTCTGAGTAAGCTGAAAATTCCATCAACGATGTAAAGCAGAGCAGGTGGGATATGATGAGACGTTTATGATTAAGCATAGAATGTCCCCCTAAAAAATTCATGACATAAACTAGACAGCATAAAACAACACCACAGACTACATTTCGAGGCCGTTCAAGACATCTCTACAGACCAAGCTGAGACAAAACAAAAACAACTTTAAATCGCACTATATGTACGTATACAGCCAACACTATATTTCTGCACCCTGGGTCTGTGACAGTG